TCAATCATACCACAAGAGCACTTGCTCAGCTATGTTCATATCAGCATTGTTTGTAATAGCCAAAACCTGGAAACAACCTAGATGCCCTTTAACTGAAGAATGGATAAATAAATTGTGGCACATATACACAATGGAATACTACTCAGCAGAGAAAAACAAAAACTTTATTTTTTAAAACTATTTCTTTATATAACTATCTATATTCATTTTCCTCTCTTTTCCAAGCCTATGCATATTTTATTTGTGCTGAAATGTGATATTTTATTTGTATGTTAATAAATAAAGCTTGGAAATCAGAGGAGAAAGGCCTGATTTTAAGTAAACAACAAGTCAGGCAGCACATACCCTTAATTCCTTAGTAGGCAGGATCTCCATGTGTTCAAGGCCACAATACAGAACAGAGCCAAGCAAGGTGACACACACCTTTAATCACAGTACCAACTATAGAGATGTGGAGGTCTGTACAGAAAGTGACAGAGCTGCATATGAAGAGAAAATGGGGTAGCTGGGCTAAGATAGCCAATGAGAGGACAGAACAGCAAGGCAATAAAGGCATGGGTAGACAGAAAGTAACTTGCATTTGGAAGCTGCAGAGTTAGTGAGGTAAGGTTAGCTGGTGGCTTTCCCTATTTTCCTTACCTAAAGCTTTCATCTCTATATTTGGCTCTGTGTTTTTTATTAATAAGATCTTTTAAGATTCATGATACAAATGTCAGCAAATAATAAGTAGGCTATGATAGGTATAAGAATTTAGGAAGAATGGATATCAAAAACATAGCGGTTATTACTCAGAAAAGGCAAAGATTTTCCCCACCAATGCCCAACAGCTTTACTAGTAAATGACTTCCACCTGACACTGATTTCATAGTTCAGCCATTGGTTCTGAAGATTGATAAGGTCTATACTTTGTCCGCATGAGCTAAACCCCAAGAGATTGAACCAATTCCAAGAGAAAGGAAACTAAGAATACTGTATATTTTCCTTTAAATGTTTGTATAGGGATGGTTGCTGTTCATTGAGGAATTCCTTTTTCACAGATCTTAAGAAGACTCTATCTAGTAGAGGTTTAGTGCACCAGTGACATCTCTTTTCATCTGCCAGGGATGGTTATGCAAGTGATAATTAGTCATGCATATTGATGGGTAGAATAGTATGCCTTCCAGTTGCTTCAAGAGGCACAGCACCTGTGCTACCCACATGGGCCATATTTCCAGGTTTTCTGTCCTCTATCCGTATTTGATCTCTATGTCTCCTCATACCTTGTAATTTGTACCAGTCCCTGGAAAATAATAGTAGATTAACATGGCTGATTTATTAACTGACTGAATAGTCATTGATCTAGGATCAAGCTTTTTATCCCTCATCCTAGAAGCCAGAACTTTTTATAATGCTTTTCCTAAGTCATTTGACATTTGTTTACTGCTCCAGAGGCAGTGAGACCTGGGAAAATGGAAGTGATCAATAAGGCAGACTAACGTCTTATGCAATAGCCAACTTTATTCAGAACATCAGACAATTTATACTCTGAAACTTAAGAAAAGTCATATCAGTAAAGCACAGAATCACAAAGACAATCCACACACGGCAGACAAATGACATATGGCAAAAGCATGTTTTTCCATAGAGGCATATAAACAAATAATAACAACCAGTTGTAATGAACAATCTTAAGTATACTCACTACTCTCTCTACATCTTGAGGGGCACAAAAGCATGCTCTAAGAACAATTCCATGTGTTTGAAGAAACTAAGGTCACATGTCTCTTGGTTTCTTGGAGTTTTGTCACAAGGACTCAAATCTTACATGACTCCGTTCTTGGACCATGTTCCAATAGACATTGAAGGACTCATTTATTTTGTCTCAAGGAGGAGCTCAGTCTTTGCCTGCAAATCAATTATTACCATCCATTAAAGTCTATAAAATATATACAGAATATAAACCCTAGCCAAGAAACTATTAGCAGCTGATAGATTCCAGGGGAAGGAGATTTATTATTCTTTGTGGTTTGATCACTAGTAGGCTGCCAATATTCCAGTGGACAACCCATGAACATATATGGGCAGCACTAAAGAAGGAGGAGGAGGAAGGGAAGAAAGAAGACATGAAGTTAGGTGGTAGATATGCTGGGGAGACGCAGAAGTAGTTAGACATAAAAAATAATGAATATTGTATGATCATATTGTTCATTGTAAAACACATGAAATTCTGAAAGAAGCAAAAAAGTAAAAATAAATGAATACTTATAATAGACAAGAATATATATATTTCTATTCTGCTTAATTAATGAACTTTATCTTTGCTACTAAAGCAAAACAAAACAAAAATAAAAAAGTTAATTTACTAGGTTTGAACACTGACTAAAATGTTGGAACTGATGTCAGCCCATAAATAAAATGGTAGACTGGGCATGTCTGTCTGAAGAATTGACATATCTTATTTTAGCCAATGACACAGACTTGGAATAAGAATTTTACCAACTCAGTGGTTAAAACTGACTAAGCAATCATGAAAACTTGCATCCCCAGAACTTATGTGTTAAAGCTGGATGTGATAGCAGGTTCTTATAACCCTAAAATAGAGATCCTTAGCAGGGCTCTCTGGATAGCAAGCCTAGTCTAATCAATAACCTTAAGGCCAAGTAACAGAACTGTGTCAAATATCAAACTGTAATAACACCTGAGTGCACATGTGCACACATACACACACACACACACACACACACACACACACACACACACACACACACACAGAGAGAGATGAACTTCTAAGTGGTCTTATTAGATAAAAAACATGGAGCCAGAAATAGGGGTGAAAATCTGACAAAGATCAGAGTAATCAGAACAGCCACCAGCTAAACACCTCACCATGCCACAGCTTCCAAAGTGAGCGACTTCCTGTCTAAACAGACATATATCTTTCTATTGTGCTAACCCATTTCCTCTCTCCACCATGCTACATCACTTCCTGTCTGTCTGTACAGACCTCCAGTTCTCTATAGTTGATAGACATCATAAAATAGTTTTCTGTTAGTAATATAAGTTGGGATAGAAAATGAATTAGGTACATTTTGGATTCACCAAAATAGGATAATGGAATATTTTCTCTGAATTTGTCAAATGCAAATGGACTAGACATTGTTGATGTATTTATTGCTTTAAAGGCATGTGTCACCACAATTGGCTCTGTTCCATAGTGTGACCTTGAACACACAGAGACCTGTAGTTAGAGTTTTCCTGCCTTGCCCACAGTCAGGACAAATCTTTGTCACCTGCCAGTCCCACAGCCGCTCAGACCCCACCAAGTAAACACAGAGACTTATATTGCTTACAAACTGTATGGCTGTGGCAGGTTTTTTGCTAACTGTTCTTATATCTTAAATTAACCCATTCCCATAAATCTATACCTTGCCACGTGGCTCGTGTCTTACCGGCATCTTCACATGCTTCTTGTCATGGTGGCTGCTGGCAGTGTCTCCCCCTGCCTTCCTGTTCTTTCTTTTCTCCTCTCTGTTAGTCCTGCCTGTACTTCCTGCCTAGCCACTGGCCAATCAGTGTTTTATTTATTGACCAATCAGAGTAATTTGACATACAGACCATCCCACAGCACTGACCCTGCCTGCCAAGTGATCAGATGAAGGGCATGTTCTACCACTTCCCGACTTTTGTGTTTACTTAAAATGGCTTGCTATTTCCTCTGATCTCCAGGCAAACTTTATATTGACATACAAATAAAATATCATCACATTTCAGCACAAATAAAATATCACCATATTTCCCCTTTGTGTCTAACAAAAATATTAAAGTTATAACTAATATGAGAAAAACTACATATAATAAGTACAATAACTATATAAAATATATAAGCAATAAATACATCAACAATGTCTAGTCCATTTGCATTTGACAAATTAAGAGAAAATATTCCATTATCTATTCTATTTTGGTGAGTCCAAAATGTACCTAATTTACTTTATATCCCAACTTATATTACTAACAGAAAACTATCTTATGATGTCTATCAAATTTATACACTTTATACCTCTTAGTGTTTCTTTTCTGAAATTCTTAACAAAGAAAACTATAACTATGCAATCTTCAACTCCCTCAGAGACCCAAGAAGAAAATAATATTACCTAGTAAAACAGGCAATTAAAACAAGTGACTTCCAAAAAACTGTGAGTTGATAGAAACAGCCAGTTGCCTAGACAGTCACCTGATGTTTCTCTACACATTGGGGCATTATCTTCAGCCTACAGGTTTAATGTATCTGACAGACTCATTTGTGAAGTAGGATGTATGTACACAAGGCCTACAGCTCAACCTTACATTTGGTGAGAGTAGTCCATGTACCAGATAAACCTGAATTCCACCAGTGTCCTGTCATCATTCAAGATTCTAAATTCTGAAAATTGCTGGTTGCTTTGGAATTTGGCTGCCTACTCTTCTATTAGGAGATGCTAGCCCACCAGGGAGCAGCATGTAATGGTACACAGGTAAAGCCATGAAGCACATCGTGACATATAGATTAACAGAAATGGGCTAAGTTTAAGTGTAAGAGCTAATCAGTAGTTGGCCTGAGCTAATGGTCATACAGTTTTAATTAATATAAACCTCTGTGTGTTTACTTGGGTCTTATCAGCTGCGGGACTAGGCGGGAGACAGTAAAACTTCCAGCTACACACACATACACATGTGCGCGTGCACACACACACACACACACACACACACACACATGACACAAACACTTATTGTAGTTTCTATAATCATATATTTTCCTATCATTGTAAATGTAGAGATAATTATGGAATAGAATACATTAATATTTACACATACTTTCCCCCTTTTATTCTTTCTTGCCATCTCTCTGTCATTCACTAACTCATACTTTATTCTGGCATGAAGTCTGCCTTGGAATCAATTCCTGTGTTAAAATCAATTTGGATGCAAAAGATGGCCTTAAAGTGGTAGTGAACTATGGGTCCTAAGGTAGAGTTTTGTGAAATGAGAATACTGCCTTGGAGAGACATTGGAAGCTCTACATTGCACATTACTCCAGAAGGCAGCAGGCCCTAGAGAGACTCCATTTACACACAGGTATTTTCCTTTTTCTCATTTATAAAAGCAATATTAAAAGACCAGCAAGAAAAGCAACAGCATCATCAGGAATTCCAAGGGAGAAATCTGAAGGCAAAGCTAATCTACTTCAAGTGACAAGAAGAATAACTCTTCAGTGTCCAGTGAGATGTTGTGATTATTAGTGTTTCCAAAACAGTGTTCTTCACTTTAACATCTTCACTATGACTGAATTCAGAGGAAACATCTGTAGCAGACCAGACAAAGACTCCTTGTTTTATGATTGTATGTCACCCAAATCTACCTGACTCTGTCTCCTTATCAGTCATTGGCAGAAAATCTACTTGCCAAAGTGTTTTCAAGATAATCCAGGAAAGGTAAGCTGTATCCAAATATTTTCTACAACAAATACCTTTCACCTCCATATTTCACTACACATATGCTAGGATATTTTCTAGGTTTTCTACATTGTGTTTCTAGGCTTATTGTCAATATTGTATCTGTAAGGTACATAAGGAAATTGACTAGGAATTCTAGTTTCTACAACCTCAAACAATTTCTTTTTGTTTTTGAGGATGTTTTGGTATCACTCATTGTGGTATTTAAATTTTTCATTTATATATGCACTGTCTTTACTGCAAGACAGGACTGAAGAGATGGCTCAGAAAAGTCATGCAATAATAAGTAACTAAGTTCAGATTCTTTGTGCCCAGATAAAATCTAGATGAGGTAAAGTGGCATGTGCTTGTAATCCAATTGCTAGCCAGCCAGTCTAGCCAATCATTGGGCCTTAGATTTAGAGACCCTGTCCCAAAATATAATGTAAGAGAAAGATATCCAACACCAATCTCTGGGCTGAACATACACATACAGAGAGGCACACTGAGTCATACATATGTTCATGTTAGCTCTCTATTCTCTCTCTCTCTCTCTCTCTCTCTCTCTCTCTCTCTCTCTCTCTCTCTCTTTTTTTGTGTGTGTGTGTCTCTGTCTCTATCTGTCTGTCTATCTGTCTCTGTCTCTCTGTCTCACACACACATACCCATATATCTATGTACTACTCTTTCAGTATATGTGTGTCTGTCTTTACCTCTCTGTCTCTCTCTGTCCCTGTCTCTCCTCTGTCTCTGTCTCTGTCTCTGTCTGTCTCTCTGTCTGTCTCTCTGTCTCTGTCTCTCTCTCTCACACACACACATACACACACACACACACACACTCACTGTACTTCTTTTAATGACATTTATTTTATTAAGGAGCACAGAAGTCCTAGCACTTGCAGAAATGAAGAGTTGAGTAGGATCCATCAATGTCTTTGCATGGTTTGTATTAAAGGTCATATTGAAATTATAAATGTTTATGACATACAGAAAGTTACTTATATGCTAAGCACTTTCAGAAGAAATCTTGAGGTTGCTCACCAAATAGAATGCTCAAAAAGAATGTGTGAGACCTTAATGACTCTGAGGCAGATTAAGACTATCATTTTTATATTTCCAATGTCAAGGGCAGTTCCTAGAACAGATATTGACATCAGTATGTTTGTGAGGGTGTTGCAGGGATTGGTCATTATCCACAGAGTATACAGTGATAACTCAAGGCTGGACTGATAAAACCGCTGCTCCTTTCAGGGAGGGGTGCCATAATTAGGAGCAAATCTTTCCTTCACATCAGGTTCTTGAAAAACATTGCTGACTGACCAGGTGTGCACCTGCCTTAAGGCAATAATAAATATCCCTTGTTCAGCAAAATCCACTGACAGTGTCTAATTCTATCAGAAACCAAAACAATAAGGAGAAATCAAAAATTAAAACTGAGCACTTGTATTAAGTGCTCAAGTACTTTTAGAAGATACATGGTGGCATGAAAAGTTGAATTTGATTTACTTTTACATGTCACTTATTAAAAATTTTAAAGTTTTTTAACACACACACACATTGTTTTCTGCAGATACCAGAAGATGGTGTCAGATATCCTGGAACTAGAGTTAGAGGCATTCGTGAGCCACCCAACATGGATGTCAGGAATGGAACTCTAGTCCCCTGCAAGAGCAGCAAGTGTTTTAAACCACTGAGTGAGTTCTCCAGCCTCACCTGTTAATTTTTTAACATAACTACACACACACACACACATACACACACTCAGCTTTATATAGGGTAACATATACAAAAAAATAATACATAAATCACAGACAGCATCATTCCCTACTGGGCAGTTTGATTAAGAATGGGGAAAGTGTCTTATGTTATAGCACACTGAAAATTCATTACAAATTCATGTCGTGGGAACACAGGAACTCACAGGCCAGTCAGTACAAATAGCAAAATGTAGAGTCATTATTGCCCCAAATATCTTGGATGCAATTTCAGTATGCTGTTCCATTTGATGTAACTGTGGCTGATTTCCATTCAAACTGTATGTCATCATACAGAACAAGCCACAGCTACCTCACCTCACCGGATCCTCAGTTGGTCTTGTTTCCTCAGACTGGAGGCCTCTGAGTCCTCATCCAGAATGGGTCTCAGCTGAACTGCTGCTAGAAGTCTGAATGCTTAACCAGGCCAAATGCCTCTAGTTTCTGGTCCTCATGACTTACATACCTTTCCCCTTTCTACCACCACTCCCTGGGATTAAAGGCTTGCTTTCTGGGATTAAAGGTGTGAGTCACCATGCCTGGCTGTATCCTTGAACTCATGTATTTCTGCCTCTGGAATGCTAGGATTAAAGGCGTCTGCTACCACTGCCTATCCTCTATGTTTAATATTATGGCTGTTCTGTCTCTGACCCCAGATAAGTTTATTAGGGTGCACAATATTTCGGGGAACACAATACCACTACACTTTTTTTGGTTGGATTAAGGCTCATTCCATGAGATGGAACCCATGCCTGACACTGCTAGAATGTCCAACAATCTGGGACAAGATAGGTCATGGGCCCTATGGGAAAAAGACTTCTTTTATGCCGGGAGGTGGTGGCGCACGCCTTTAATCCCAGGACTCGGGAGGCAGAGGCAGGCAGATCTCTGTGAGTTTGAGGCCAGCCTGGGCTACAGAGTGAGTTTTAGGAAAGGCACAAAGCTACAGAGAGAAACCCTGTCTTGGAAAAAAGAAAAAACTTCTATTATTATAGTGTTAAAGTAAAAAGAACATAGCAATAAAATGGCTACTAATGATGTACTGCTATATCCATACATCAATGGACAGCTCAAATCTCATCAGAGAAGCTTATTCTTGCAGTAAATGATAATTAACACACAGAAACACAACTGTGCAATGTGTAGACTTTCGATCTCTCGGGTCTAAATGGTATGTCTTCATCAAACCCCTCCTCTTAAGGCTCAGGGATCTACGTGGAAGAAAAGGCAGGAAGACTGTAGGAGCCAGAGCTGACAGATGACAACAGCATCTTCCAGACAAAACAGGAATGATACACATATGAGCTAACAGTGAATATGACAGCACAAATGAGACCTGTATATGTTCAAGCCAGATAAAATCCCAGCACTGAAAAGTGCCATCCCTGATGAAGATGTTATTTGGATTGAATATTGCTGGGGAAGGGAAAATCAGTTTTCTCCAATGGAGTGTCAGTAGGTGTATCAACCACACCCCAGGGCAGGCCCCAAGCCCAGGAGTAGTTGGCCAGCAGCACAAAAAGGGACCCCATGGTTTGTTTTTTTTGGTTGGTTGGTTGGTTGGTCAGTTTTGATTTGGTTTGAGGTTTGTTTATTTTTAAGAGGTGAGATGGTTTGTTTTGATTTTTTAAATAAATATTTTTATTGATTAATTGGGAATTTCACATCATGCACCCTGATCACACTCACTTCCCAGTCCTCCTGGATCCACTTCCCCACCCTTGTGACTTCCCTCCACAAAAAAAAAAGGAGAAGAAAAAATAGTCTAATTTGTATTAGCCATAAAAGAAAATGTAGTTGCCTATATGGAGAGATGAGGATGTTCTGGAAAGAGCTGAGGGAGAGGAAATAATATGATCAAATACATTATATGAAGAAAATCTTTAAAAAAGAAGCATTTATAGTAGTTAAGATACAATGACATAGATGTACAGTGTATATCTATGGTCATACTTACCTTTGTGTAGGAACTACTTAACTGGAAGCCTTATTAGGTCATCTACAGTTTTGAGATTCAATTATATTAAATATTAATCCATGATCATTAATGCAAGAATGGATTTAATCTTAACCTTACAGTAGGACAAAATAATTCTTATCTCCCAGGTTGGCCAACTCCTACTAATAGCAACCATATGCTTTTAATTCACATATGCAAAAATAAATAAGTAAATAAAAGTTACCTGGTATGTTGGTATACAGAAAAATAACTTTATAAATATTTAAAGATAGCAATGGATTGAGGCTGAACATCTTTCCTAAATATAATTTGAAAGTTTCTTGTGTTTAATTTTTGTGTGTCTATATGTCTAGAATTCTTTTTTTTTTTTTTTTTTTTTTTTTGCTTTATGGAAAATATATTGCAACGCTCCAACAGCACATCACTTTTTCTTTTCAACATCTTGCTCTGCAGCTTCCTTTGCCCTCTTTACTCAGATGCCAAAGAGCCGGGCATTGGCCTGCGCCATGCGAAGACTGGCAAAAGCCTTGAAATTCTCTTCTGTGATGACCCTGGCTTTCTCCTTTTTGTAGACATTCCGGATGGGCATCACAAGTCCTGTGAGCTTGGTGGCCAATTTAAGTTCTTCAGCAGAACTATCTCCCTTCTTTGGAGCAGAAGGCTTCCTGGGGAAGAGTATGAGCTTGGAGCGGTACTCCTTCAGGCACTGCACATTGGCCTGTAGTGATTCAGTAGATTTATTTCGCCTCCTTGGGTCCACAGAGATGCTGAAGGTGTGAGCCACTTTCTTATGGATACCAGCCACCCTGAGTTCTTCCAGGCTGAAGCCCCTGCCAGCTCGGACCTTGGTGTGGTATCTCACTGTGGGGCACCTCACTATGGGCCTGATGGGACCGGACGCTGGGCGAAGAGCGATGCAGCGCACTTTCTCCTGCTGGGCCTTGCGTCTGCGGATCTTGCGTGCTGGCTGGTTGAACCAAGTGTCCACTCACTGCTGCCAATCCTTGTGGAAGTGGGCCGTTCTCCTGCACGGGAGGCAGCCATGGCGCCCAGCCGTAATGGCATGACTAGAATTCTTGATCACCTTTCCATCAACTTCATTAAATATAAGAGGTAAAAGATCTCATGACCTGCAAAAAAATACTTTATATCTTTTCTGTGGGAAAATGTACTAAATTTATCAAAAGGAAAATACAGAAATATAGGCTAAATTATATTGGATGCCCATCAATCAATCAACTTCTGATTTCTGAGAGAATTCTGAGACACTACTGTTGGAATTTTCTTTCTCACTCAAAGTCCATTGAGCATCTTGAAAGAGAGTTTATGTATCATTTTCCCACAGATTTATTGCTTGCATGCAGGAGCATCGATTCTTTGAAATGTTGGGCAGAAAGAAGCCAGGTTGCAAATAATCTGTGCTTCTTGTCATGAAATAGAGTAAAGATGAGACTCAAATTCCAGTGTGCTCTTCTATACAGACACATTTTGTAACAGTGTGCCTGCTGTTAGGATATGAGCTTTGAATTTTTGTGCTGTAAATATTATTTTCAAAGAAAAACAGCCTTTTATCTCCACATCTAACTCATCTACACAACAAAAACACAGACTCTTTAAAATAAAAGTAAATTTGATTTTTATAAAAAAAGAGAGCAAATAGTTCCACAATCTCACTGTATAGTTTCTATATATCAATGATATGAATTTTATATATAAAACGTCTGGTCAAAATATGTTAATAAATAATCATTTAAACAATGAAATATTCCTACTATGGACTTCTAACTGCATTTAAAACTATTTGTATGAGTGCTTAAGATGTAAGAAAAGTATCAATATATATTCTTTATACTAAAAATGAGTATATTAATGTATCAAACCAGAATACATTTCCAAACTATGTTCAAGATCAAGACTGTCAGCTATAATTATATTATTCTGTAATTACATATCATTATATACACGCATGATGCCATAGTTCAAATGATGAATGTCTCATCAAAGATTCAGGATTTCAAAGTTTAGTTACCAGAATGATACTATTAGGAAGGATCACGTGAAGGGCCTTATGTGAGAGGTCCTTTTGTCACTGGTAGTGTGTCCTTAACGGTGACTATAAACCCTAGTCTTTTCTGCTGCTCTGCTTTCTCACTTTTGAGGTAGCAGATTAGTTCTGACACACACTCTCAACATGTGACAACCTACTGTAGCTATAGCCCAAGGCCCTGAAGCCACTTGATCTCAAGAAAGAACACAAAAACTGTAACCTAAAGCAAAGCTATTCCTAGGAAGATTTAGCAAGTTTTACGTGTGGAAGTCCAGTACCCAAACAGCTAAAAGTGAAAATTATCCTAAGTTCAGGTCCCAATATGGGTTACATAGGATGTTCTAAGCCAGACTGAGCTATACAATAAGACCCTATATCTTTTATAATAATAATATGATAAAATTATAAATAACAATTTATAATAAATTATAATAAAAAATAAAATAAATCTTTCATATTCTTAGGTTAATTGCTTTAAATATCTTATTTTACAAATAGGAACTCATGAACTTGAGACCAACAGCTGTGGAGACTCCATGGGACTGGACTAGGCCCTCTGCATAAGCAAGACAGTTGTGCAATTTGGTCTGCTTAAGGGGCCCCCTGAAGTGAGATCAGATCCATCCCTGATGCATGAGCTGACTTTTTGGAGCAGATTACCTATGGTGAGACAACTTTCACAGCCTTGATGGGGCAGGGGGGGGCTTGGACCTGCCTCAACTGGATGTACCAGGCTTTGCTGACTCCACATGGGAGGCCTTACCTTTTCAGAAGAGGGAATGGGGGGTGGGTTGGGGAGGGAAGGCTGCAGGGGGGGGTGCGGCGTGAGGAGGGAAGAGAGGGGGATCTGTGGTTGGTATGTAAAAATGAATAAAAATTTTCTTAATAGAGAAAAAACAAATAGGAAACTGAGTGATACATGTATGCACACAA